TATGTGGTGTAATTCAAAAATAATTGTTCGAAGAATTAGAATGTTTATTATTCATAATAATGAATAATAAGCGAAAATATACGAAGTTTAGTGCTGTCGATGTACACCAGACTATCAATGTGGCATAATCCATAAATAATCATTTGAAGAATTATTCTGCACTTTTAAAATATTTGGTGTTAACATTATTATTTGTTAAAACAGCTTTATTGTATACAATGACCAAATATCGACGACATGTATTTTTTCACATCGCTGAGAAATGTGTCGACTGTTGCGAGCAATATAAATCCGAAGCAATGCTCTAAAAAATACAATAATCTAATAAATCAATACTCTAAACATAGTTTTTAATTCTTTCAAAATAAGTATGTTGCAAAGGCTGAAAGTCCTAACTAAGTTTAACACGTTAAGTGCCGAATGTCAACTCGAAAAATTCACGCAATATTAAAGTCATTTAATTAATAAAATCTAAACTAGAAAGTGAAAATTTACCATAGGAAACATTGGTTCAGCTATTTTGTATTCTACAGATAATAGTAATACTCAATTTGTTCAATATATTACAATAAATATGAATGTCAAAAACCTAGTTAAAAATTAGTCTCGCCTATCCATGACTCACGCATCACTGAACTTGTTAATATATCATAGATTAGTTTAGAAGAACAGACCAAGGCACGTAAAAGTTTCAAGTATTAACCCTTTGTATTCGAGTGGCAACTCCGAGGCACCAATAAAAATTCCAGTACCACGTTCCAAAATAATTTCAACAGTATCGAATTTGTTTACATTAAAAAATCTGTTAGAAATGCAGTTATTGTACGCGCTGTCCAACCTCATTTATGTCAGTTCCAATAAATCGTGTAAAATAAAAATACTACAGATTTTTCGAATTAGAATAGCTTCGAGTGCGAAGGGTTAAATAACAGAAACAATATTACCCCTCAATTACCCGAATAAAACTGACTTCCACACTAATTCGTCCGGAATCATCTTCAGGTATACGTGGCACCGAACATTCGGGACAAGCTGACATCGCTGGACGCCGAGATGCGCATGAGTCTCGACGAAGAGCGTTATAAAGACAACAGACCACGAGATCCGAGACTTCCACTGCGACCTGTTCTGGGATCTACAACGTCCAGAAGGGATTCTCTGTCTATCAGAAAGAACTGTGGACCCGACAACGTCTGCATACCGGATCTGCAAATGAACGTGACGTCGAACGTTCTCAGGTACCTTCTGGGCTCCGGGAAACGGTTGGAATTGGACGTGCTGGTGCAGAACATGGGCGAGGACGCGTTCGAGTCGACGTACAACCTGAGGCTGCCGGCTGGCATCGACTACATCAAGGTGGAGAAGATCGAGACCATGGGAATGCCCGTGCAATGCTCGGCGCCGAAGCAATCGAACAACAATACCCTTCGTTGCGACATCGGCAATCCTCTGCAGAAGAACGGTTTGGTGAAGTTCAAGGTCCTGCTGCAGCCTGTCACCTCGCAAGGGATGAAGCCTGTCTACGAATTCGAAATGGACGTGAACACCACCAATCCGGAGAATCCGTCGACGGCCGGCGACAACTTGTACACTTTGAAACTGCCGATTTGGATCGAGACCGATCTACGCGTTGACGGTGAGAGCAAACCGAAGGATCTCTACTACGACCCTGACAATTACACCAGCGAAACTAACGCGACCACTGAAATGGAGTTCGGCCCCGCTATGACGCACAATTACACCATACGAAACCTGGGACCCTCCGATGTTATTGAAGCGGAAGTCTTCCTCATTTGGCCTGCGCAGACCCTGGCCGGAAACGAGCTGCTGTATCTGCTGGAGCAGCCTGAGACTTCCGGGCCTATCGCCTGCGAGACCGCCAATGCGAATTATCTTAGCTTGAAGGTGAGAGAGTGAAGACCTGGGTGAATTTTATCTGAAAAGAAAATAAGAAATATCTAGAAATACGGTTAGTTCTCCCCAATTGTCTCTCAGCTTGCATTTTCGCTAAGGAGAGAATTACTTCAAATGACCTCATGAACTTCGCATTATAAATTGATATTATTTGGAACGTTTTTATTTTCAAATGGCAACGTTCGAAATTTCTTATTTTCTAAATAGAGTAAATTCTCTCTAATTAACAGCTTGGGAACGAAAGTAGTGAACAGAATAACATTTCAAACAACGTTATTTTAAAGGAGATCACAGACATAGAATTATGAAATAAGATACAATGTTATTTGAAATATAATATTTCAAATAATATTATTTCAAAACAGATCACAGGCATGGAACTAATTATGAAATAAAATTCAATGTTATTTTAAATAATATTTCAAATAATGTTATTTTAAAAGAGATCACAGGCTGTCTCTTATACACATCTAGATGTGTATAAGAGACAGTGGTATTTGATTTCATAATTAGTTTCATGTCTGTGATCACTTTTAAAATAACGTTATTTGAAATCTCATTTTAAATAATATTTCAAATAATGATGTTTTAAAAGAGATCACAGGCTGTCTCTTATACACATCTAGATGTGTATAAGAGACAGTGGTATTTGATTTCATAATTAGTTTCATGTCTGTGATCACTTTTAAAATAACGTTATTTGAAATCTCATTTTAAATAATATTTCAAATAATGATGTTTTAAAAGAGATCACAGGCTGTCTCTTATACACATCTAGATGTGTATAAGAGACAGTGGTATTTGATTTCATAATTAGTTTCATGTCTGTGATCACTTTTAAAATAACGTTATTTGAAATCTCATTTTAAATAATATTTCAAATAATGATGTTTTAAAAGAGATCACAGGCTGTCTCTTATACACATCTAGATGTGTATAAGAGACAGTGGTATTTGATTTCATAATTAGTTTCATGTCTGTGATCACTTTTAAAATAACGTTATTTGAAATCTCATTTTAAATAATATTTCAAATAATGATGTTTTAAAAGAGATCACAGGCTGTCTCTTATACACATCTAGATGTGTATAAGAGACAGTGGTATTTGATTTCATAATTAGTTTCATGTCTGTGATCACTTTTAAAATAACGTTATTTGAAATCTCATTTTAAATAATATTTCAAATAATGATGTTTTAAAAGAGATCACAGGCTGTCTCTTATACACATCTAGATGTGTATAAGAGACAGTGGTATTTGATTTCATAATTAGTTTCATGTCTGTGATCACTTTTAAAATAACGTTATTTGAAATCTCATTTTAAATAATATTTCAAATAATGATGTTTTAAAAGAGATCACAGGCTGTCTCTTATACACATCTAGATGTGTATAAGAGACAGTGGTATTTGATTTCATAATTAGTTTCATGTCTGTGATCACTTTTAAAATAACGTTATTTGAAATCTCATTTTAAATAATATTTCAAATAATGATGTTTTAAAAGAGATCACAGGCTGTCTCTTATACACATCTAGATGTGTATAAGAGACAGTGGTATTTGATTTCATAATTAGTTTCATGTCTGTGATCACTTTTAAAATAACGTTATTTGAAATCTCATTTTAAATAATATTTCAAATAATGATGTTTTAAAAGAGATCACAGGCTGTCTCTTATACACATCTAGATGTGTATAAGAGACAGTGGTATTTGATTTCATAATTAGTTTCATGTCTGTGATCACTTTTAAAATAACGTTATTTGAAATCTCATTTTAAATAATATTTCAAATAATGATGTTTTAAAAGAGATCACAGGCTGTCTCTTATACACATCTAGATGTGTATAAGAGACAGTGGTATTTGATTTCATAATTAGTTTCATGTCTGTGATCACTTTTAAAATAACGTTATTTGAAATCTCATTTTAAATAATATTTCAAATAATGATGTTTTAAAAGAGATCACAGGCTGTCTCTTATACACATCTAGATGTGTATAAGAGACAGTGGTATTTGATTTCATAATTAGTTTCATGTCTGTGATCACTTTTAAAATAACGTTATTTGAAATCTCATTTTAAATAATATTTCAAATAATGATGTTTTAAAAGAGATCACAGGCTGTCTCTTATACACATCTAGATGTGTATAAGAGACAGTGGTATTTGATTTCATAATTAGTTTCATGTCTGTGATCACTTTTAAAATAACGTTATTTGAAATCTCATTTTAAATAATATTTCAAATAATGATGTTTTAAAAGAGATCACAGGCTGTCTCTTATACACATCTAGATGTGTATAAGAGACAGTGGTATTTGATTTCATAATTAGTTTCATGTCTGTGATCACTTTTAAAATAACGTTATTTGAAATCTCATTTTAAATAATATTTCAAATAATGATGTTTTAAAAGAGATCACAGGCATGGAACTAATTATAAAATAGAATAACATGTTGTATAAAATAACATTTCAAATAACGTTATTTTAAAAGAGTTCACAGACATAGAACTAATTATGAAATAAAATGCAATCTCATTTGAAATAATATTATTTTAAAAGTGATCACACACACAGACATGAAACTAATTATGAAATCAAATACCACGTTATTTCCAATAATATTTTAAATAATATTATTTTTTAAGTGATCACAGTCGCGGAACTAATTATAAAATAAAATATCATGTTATTTCAAATAATATTTTAAATAATATCTCAGGTCAGACACAGGTAAAGAGTGTAAAGGAGTGTTACATTAATGGATAGACGTACTGTATTATACAATATTAACCACCATACATGAAAATAACACTTTTGCACTTTGCGACAAAAGAAACAACACGTAAAAATAAATTCAGAATCCCAATTAAGATACTGTTAAAAACTGATGTATTACCCATCGAAAGTACCAATGACCGATCAACTTATTCCCACACTAACTCTCTCAATTGCTTCTAGTTGGACCAACGCAGAAAGATATTGTATCATCACTCGGAGCCATCGGGCGTAATCTTGGACGAGTCGCAATCCGGCAAGACGATCAACGTGCAAAGAGGATTCGAAGCGGACAAAGCCAAGATCAACCAGAAAGAGGAGGCAGAGATCCACAGCGGGGACAGTTCGAGCATCCAAAAGACCCGTCACTCATCCTCCTCGTCCTCTAACGTCGTCGCCAGCGAAACCAGGAGGATACAGTTGTCCTCGACAGGCGACAAGCCGGACGTCCTCGTGACCACCTACACCCACAACAACTCTGGCACGAGCTCTATCAACACCGGAAATCTGTCGAACGGGAACAAGGGTCTCGTGTTTCACACGCAGACCGGCGGTCACAGCGACTCCGGCGCTTTGGGCGGCGGTTTCCGCTCGAGCGAGGACACGGGTCTGGGCCCGAGGATTCCCAGCCTGGAGGAGCACTACGGGACCCGTGTAAATCACACGAAAACGCTCGAGAGTCGCTGGGGCGAGACGAGCGTCTCCGGAGGCCGCACGGTTTCCGGTTCGTTCGACGCCGAGCAAAGCGAGAGCGAGAAGAAGTACCAGGAGCTGCTCAGACAGCAGGAGGAGCTCCGTCGCTTGCAATACCAAGGACGACAGGAAGAGGAAAGGAGGAGAGCCGAAGAGGAACGGAGGAGATACGACGAGCAGGAACGGAAGAGACAGGACGAAGAGGAACGGGAGAGGCACGAAGAGGAGGATCGACGTAGACAGGAAGAAGAGCGGCGAAGACAGGAGGCGGAGGACGCGCGCAGGGTCCAGGAAGAGCGCCAGGAAGAGATCCGAAGACTCGAGGAGGAGCGAAGGCGAGTGGCCGAAGAGGAGTACAGGCTCCAACAGGGAAGACGTCCTGGGATATCGGCTGGATCAGAGAGCGGCTTGATCACCGGCGATCGCGAGGAGACCGTTGGAACCGGCGAATTCGGTTTCCAGCTGCGCAACGTCAGCTCCACGCAGGAGTTCGAGACTCTGTTTGGCTCCTTGTCGAAGTCTTCTACGTACAAACTGTCCAACAGACAGGGCAGACATTATGTCCAGTTCATGGGCAGGATGAGGACTTCCGGGGACAAGAGAGAGTACATAGAGTTCCAGGACGGGTCCATGTTCCCGCTTCAAGATCGCTACGGCGACGTCAGTTACGTCTCCGAAAATTCCGAGCCTCCGGACAGCCGATTTCAGTGGGTGGAGGGCGAGCTTCTAGTCGATTCGCGCGGGAAAGGGTTTATCGTTCTGAAGGACAGCCGCAGGTTTCCTCTGCAGGGCTCGTTCACTTACACGGAGGAACGTTCTTACACCTTGGATCCGCGAGGAGGCTACCAAGGTAGAGGTTCGAGCGGGTACAGCAGGTCCTGGAGCGAGGACTCCGGCCACCACGTTGGCGGCGACGTTGACTACGAGTCGAGATACTCGAGCACTCACGAAGAGAGGAGGACGGAGGACAGGAGGACGGAGGACAGGAAAGTCACCAGCAGGACCCACGGTAGAGAGAATCGCGAGTCTTTCGACGAGGCTAATACCCAAAGCGTCGACGCTGCCAGCAGATTCAAACGCGAGAGCGACATGGTGGACGTGAAGGAGTTCAAGAAATTCGAGAGATTGCACAGAGTTCCCAGGGACCTGGAGAAGGATCTTGTGGCGGAGGAGAGCGAGTTCGACGAGAAGGCCGATTACGAGAACGACCCTAGGACCCACGGGCCCGTCAGTCCTTGCGACACCGCAAAATGTGTCATGTTGAGGTGCGTCGTGGGCCCTCTGAAGAAGGATCAGGAGGTCTGGATCGGAGCTAGGTACAGGGTAGACGCGAGGACCTTGAAAAAGGTGGCCATCCAGGAGAAGGTCAGAGTCTCGACCAAGCTGGTGGCGCGTGTCACCAAGCAACCGTTTATCGGCACACCTGCCGAACAGGTGGTAAAGAGCCGCGAAGTCAAGACGAACGTCGAACCCAGCTCAATGCCAACCGTGCCGGATTCTATTCCTCTCTGGGTCGTTGTTCTCTCTGCTTGCGCTGGAACGATCATCCTGTTGTTGCTCATCTATCTGCTGCACAAGGTTTGTTCGCGCGAATTTTATACAAAATGTTACGTGCAACGAGATATGCGTTTAGGAAGTTACTTTTGTAGGGCGTTTGTTAAGCTGATCTGTTCAGCCATCGAAACAGCAATTAAATTTTTATCAAATTCAATCTTAATATTTAGACTGTGGATTTTTATAAATTTACACTATCTGCATGACTTTTAAATACAATGAAATATGTATATTAACACTATGCCGTCCGCAGATCTTAGATATGATTCTTTTGTTTGACGCCGGCATAATAGCTTGGAAATTTTAGATTCTAAAAAAAATTTCGAAGATGGCGGTAATATGAATTCCTAAAATTATGATATGTCATCCAAGAATTTTCGTACTTAATTCTTAGTTAAATAAGCACAATGCTATAATTAGTTTGCTGCCTTTTAACAGCCAAGAAATATAGTTCAAATGTTATTTCAGTTTTTTAAAATAAATACCATAATAATATATATCACCGGCATACAACAGATAGTTTTTATGGCACCAGCGTGGTGCCACCGGACGGCATAGTGTTAACAAACATTGGTGACATTTCCATTCTATCTTTATGATACCAAATTTTATATTTAATAAATAAAGTGAATTCTTCATCATCATTTTTACAAATGAATCCATAAAAACGAAAATTGATCTGATAATCCGAAACGTCCGACAATTTGTAATCCGAGGGAAACAAGCATAACGAAATCAGAAACGTTAATGACATTTATTTCTGTCGACAGTGTGGATTCTTCAAGAGGAACAGGCCATCAGATGCGCCAGAGAGACAACCACTGAATAGGAATGGTCACTTCCACGGGGACGATCACTGAAGCATAAATCAAGGATAGACCAGTGAGAATTCTCGTGTCACGATAAACGTCGAACGACATCGATCAATCGAACGAAGTGCCTTGATCCTTGCGAATCCGCCAACGGAGCAGGAATATGCATTCGCTGGATCACGCGGAGCTGTAATACAGCACTGCCACGTGTATAAAATAATGTTTACTAACGATAGCGATTACCTCTATCTCCAGAACGTTACAGAAACTGGTAGAGTGAATTAGAAAGGTTCTGGAGCGATTCTGCGAATATTTTACTGCCACTGAATACTCCTTCCAGCTCCTGCTGTTCGACCATGCAAGTTTCTAGTCAGGAGACATTTTCATTTTTATTTTATTTTTTCTCGTTTTTTAAATCTTTGATACTGGCCCACGAGTCACTTACTCCTTTGAAATTGCCATAACTCTTCCATTCATTGAATATTCTAATTTTTGTTGTTTACATTACAAAGCATTGAGTGTGAACATTGGCCATGAAAAGTATTGGTCTTAATACTAGGAAAATGTAGTTGTTTAATTTACAATTACTGAAATTTGAAAGATGCATTTAGGTGCAATGTACATCATCGACAAGAAGTAATCAACAATAAATATATAAAGAAAGTCTTAAAGTTAATGTTCATTTTTCTAGAAAGCAAAGAATGAGACAAATTTGTAATATTCTTGGGTTTTATAATTCTAAGATAACTATAATGAGTCCATTGTTTTCTATTTAGTAAAAGAACGTTTCCCGAAGTATCGTTAACTTTTCTATTATATTTGTGTTTACTTTCTATAAAATATTATTACTTATATTTGCTCAAATGATTCTTTCAAGAATGATACTCGCGACTTTGATGGAATAGAATTTGTCAGAAGTATTATTATCAAAATTGCACAAAATCAGATTAAACACAGCCCAGTTATTTTTGTATCGTAATCATGGTCACTTCTAATGTTCCACACCTTTAGCTTTGCAGTGTTTGAAATGATTGAATACCAAACTGGAAATCATTTACATTGAAGAATGACCCCTGATGTCAAAAAGTTAACAATGATGAGTTAGAACAATTGAACTGTAATTTTCAGAATAGAATGGTATGTTTGATTTGATGTTCAATGAATCTTTCATACTTTATGTCTCAAGAGATTTTTCGGATACCCAGTAGAACAAATTAAGAAAATTACAACAATTTCAAACCAGTTCGTGACTCGCAAGCCACTATGTATTTACTTAAGCCTTCCATTCGTCGATAAAAGCGAGCAAACTCGACGAACCCAACACGCACAGTTTAATAAACGTCTCTCGAGGGTAGAAAGTGAACGTTTGCCAGCATGTCTTTTGTATTCGCCATGAGTAGATAAGAAGATCGTCTTCTTTTATTGGTAACGAAAAGTTCGTTGATTGAAGATTTATGGAAGCTCTGCAGAGCTTGTAGAAATGATAATTAAGTCTGGAAAGTTTCGAAAGCGACACGGAGAGGAGGTGCAATTTTCACTGAATAATCGCAGAGTAGTTCAAAGTTTTATCGATATCGTAAATGTACAGGGTGTGCCATAACGTGTAGATCAAACGAGGAACATGAAAATAATTTTAAAAAAGTTCGTATAGACGTAGGCTCTATTTGACCTTGTTTCTCTCGTGTCAGAATATTTTGTATTTTAGTTTGTAAAACGGCTGCTTTCCATCGAAGTACAAGCTTTTTATATTTTTCTATGTTTAACATCCGAAGAGTTATTAACCATTATACGTTGTTACCACTTACTGTTTTATATACGTTGTTATTGCTAGAAATTATTAAAACTCGGAATAGCTGTAAGAGAGCAATGTCGAATAGAAAGTAACTATATGCGAACTCTTTTTCTACATATAAGTTTTAAGACACTCTGTATAATTCTGACTTAATAATAATATTTATTTATGATAGCCCATTGATAGTAGAAAGCAATAAAGGTGAGAAAAGCTGAGGTATAGCAAAATGAAAGGAAAATGCACAAAAATAAGCCGCTTTTATGTAAGAGAATTATACAAAGATAAATCGTAAAACGTGCTAATGAAATATTCGAAATTGTAATCGATTAGGTGTATCTTTTAATACATTAACAGGTCCGATCGACCGAAATATATTTTGACACGTTTGCGGGTTTATTATCGACAGATCTCACTTGTCGCCGACATCGGCAGACGATTTGTACTTTTCTTTCTTTTGATCACAAGCAAAGTAATTTCAACAAACGGAATCTCAAATTATTTATTAAATTTCTGCATTATACGATGTATATGTAACGTATGATAGAGATCCGTAACCTGAAACGGGGTTCCGCCCCTTGTGTAAGTGTGTACAATCTTGTAAATTATTAATTGTATTACTAAAACTATTCGAATGAAAAATAGCTAACGCAATAATAGTTATATAGAAAGTAAAAAAAGAAATTCCTGATCAATGCAGGAAAGTAGAACTGACTTGTATATACAGACTTAAGATGTAATATTAAAAAATATATATATAAATAATATTATTAATACTACAGTTGGTGTTTTCTTTTTATTTGAATATGAAACCTTTCAAAATAATTAACATATAACAAAATTAAGTAAATCTCATACTACCAACGTGAAAGAGAACTTTAGTTTTCTTTTAGTTTCCTTTTAGCTTTCTTCCTAATTTAATTCTAAATGTATTTTACTTTCCCCTTATTTAATAAAATTTTACCATTAATTTCAACATGAATTTACCTTTAAGTCTTTGGTTCATGAAGAGGTGATTCCTGAGGTCATTTGAAGTGGGTCATTTTCCTTGCCTCTCATTAGTCAGTGTTTTTTGTTAATAACTCTTAAACAAAGCCGTGGATTACATTTTCGCTAAGTAGAAACTAACTTCAACCCCTTCCGGGTGTTAACACAATTATGGGACACCCTGTGTATGCCTTGGGGACGCTATCACCCGTACTCACCCACGGGGGCGACAATTTTAAGCGGTTTGGCTATTTCGCAGCTCGACTTATTATTATTATTAAATTATTATTATAATTATTAATTATTATTATATTATTATTAAAAATAATTACTCAAAATACCGATTAACTTTGAAAACCTGAATGCTTGAATAAATTGTTCCGTTGAGTAGATTTCATTGATAACTTATTCATTTTTTAGTACCTAGTGTTTATAATAATTTATTTTGCAAGCGATGTTATTAAACACTCCCTAAACTATTTTACCATCTAATTTGTTATTAATTGTAAATAATATGTAGATCAATCGTTACCCCGAAATATTCAATTGACAAATTCACTGTTTCTACCTGTTTAATAAACAATGCTATCTGGAACTCTGTCGCCTGTTTCACAATCTAACATTTAAATAAAAATAACTAATTGAATTCGAGGTGCAGAGAATAATCTTTGACACATTTCCGAATTTAATAAAACATGCAGTAATAGAAATGAGGTATACAGAATACTCGATTCTTACTAGGAATACAAAGTTAGAATCCATACAGATTCTTATAGGCTCTAGGGTGTCGCACTCAGCGTTACCGATAGGTCACGAAAAGTAGGCAAGTTAGCAAGAAGCGAATATCCTGTATATTTAATTTCTAGTACAATCCCTGGCGAAAGTTACCGATCATATACCCTTGTACAAAATTGACAAAGAGTATTCGTGTTTCAGAGTTATGAAATGTTCTTTTATACAGGTAAGACGAATGGAGAACGTAGGTGGAATCTAAATAAAATAAATAAATACAAAATAAAAAAGAATAAATTTTTCAGTTATTATCAAAAAGAAACCACAGAAAAAACAAAATGTTATATAGAAAAAGAAAGAACGATAGAAAATTGCGTGCAATTGTTGGGAATATGAGATCGAGAACATGTGGGCAAAATTAAATAAATATATTCATGGCAAGAAATCAAAAACTAAAGAAGAACTTTGACATGTAATCAAATTGTCGTGGAAAGAAATTTCACTTAGGGATTATGAAAACTTAGCAAGGTCGATGCCTCAACGCATTAAAAGTGTTATACGAGCACGTGGTAATGTTACAAAATATTAATAACTGAATAATTGGAAACTTCTTTCCAACATTTGTACTGATCTGACACTTTTTTCCACACAACATTTTGTTTTCTCTGGGGTTTCTTTTTGATAATAAATGGAAGATTGTGTTACATTTTGTTTATTTCTTTATTTAGATATTACCTACGTTCCACATTCTTCTTACCTGCATATAAGAACATTTTATAACTCCAATATGTGAATATTAGTTGTAAATTTTACAATATATTAGTGTATTTGGTGTATTTAGTGTATTTAGTGGAAACTTTTTTGCCAGGGTTTGTAATAATTATGAAATATGTACTACAGAGATACAATACGAAATGTAATTATTTTTATATTTCTATTAATTACATAATTAGTGATAGTGCACACATAGCTATAACT